AGCAGGAATTCTTCTTTGTCAACATGCGATACGAGGAGCTGCAGTCAGCTGAAGATGCTTAGAGTGCTATGGGGCTTGCCTCGAATGAATTGGTTTCATTATTCGTATTGGTGCCTGCCTTTCTTTACTCTGTGGGTTCGTAAGCAATCATTCTGGGTAAATTGCTTCCTCTTACAAAAGCATATCTAAGTGAAGCATTTTGCGTGAATTTTATGATGCCATTTTTTTAGCATGAATGTTTCTCACACGTAAATGTTGCCTTTGTTGTTGTACTCCTGGGTTAGAGCAGATGGGACTGATCGTACGCTCTGTGAGGGAGCTGCAGTCTGGCGGAGGCGATGCTACCACAGCTCCATGCCCCTGTGCAGCCTGTGGCGAGGCCAAGCGGGTATTCGTGGTAGGCGCACACGAAAACACACGTATGCAACATGCACCCATGCAGACGGCCGGCCGCACGGATAGAAACGCTCACCATTTGTGCAGACACGAGCAGCATGATGGCCTTGTCCTGCTCCCCTCTCTCACTGGTGAAGATGAAGGTCCATTAGTGGGATATATATAGGCATATAAAATGTGAATCCCTCCTTAGACACGCGATCTGTCCAGCAGCTGCCCGTGGATCCGCTTGTCTCCAGGCACCTCCTGCACAGACCCACACACGCAAACAGGACGCAGGCATCCCCAGGCCCAATGCTAGCTCCAGGAGCTGGCTTAGACCTCCTGGTCCAAGACTTCCTCACCCATGGAAATAGTTAGAAATGGGGTTTAACGAGAAGACAGGAGCAACTGTGCAGATCAGACTCAGGGTGTTTCCAGACAAGTGTAGTGACCCCCAATTGCTTATACCCAACCAGCACCTTTTATCTCTCTATCTTGCTATTTTCCCATTCTAGTTCCTTCCCTAAACCACCTTGGTCTCTCCCTTTCCCCACCTTTGGTTCCTCCCCTAAACATCTCATAGTGCATCTTGTGCAATCCCAAAATGCTCTTCCCTTGCATGCCACAGTGCATCCCAGATGCCCCTGGGAGGAGCGAGGTTGGGGTCTGCATGTCTCTGAAGGGTTATTGGGGCTGCCCCACTTGCTCCTGTGCCTCTGTGCGCCTCCGTGTGTGGGAGGACGAGCCTTTTATCGCATCACCTAGTGTGCTCATGTACCAAATATGTTCTGATTTTTCCCTGCCAGGCTTATAGCTCTTTTGATACTTTTGATTTTACTGATAGAATAAAAAAAAATGTAGAACGAACTTGCTTCTATTTCACATGTTCCTGTGAAAGCTGTACTTGGGTGTAACTGGCCCCAAAATTGCTGCTCGGGAGGTGCTTTGCCTCTGCGAAGTGAACTGAAGGAACGGGACGGTTGTGGAAATTGATGGCTGCAAAAAGCGGGCCCTGAAGGTACTCTCTTACCCCAGGGCTGAGGAGATGACCCATGAGAAAAAGCTGAGGAAGCTGGGCCTGTTCAGCCCAGAGAAGTCTTTTTTCACCACCTAACGGGGTGACAGAGAAGACGGAGCCATGCTCTCATTGGAGGTGTGGAAAGGAAGGACCGGGGGCAATAGGGACAAGCTACAGCTTGAAATGCTGGCTAGAAATAAGAAAAAAATATTTCCCATGAGAATGGTGCAGCCCTGGGACAGGGCCCAGGGAGGCTGTGGCATCTCCATCCTTGGAGACTTGCAGAACTCACTTGGACAACCTCATCAGACTTTGAAGCTAGTCTTGCTTGTAGCAGGAGGCTACAGACCTCCGGAGGTCCTTTCCAAACAAAAGTATTGTAGGATTCAATGTGTATTTGGCCTCTTCCTTTTTCATGTATTTTCTAGGCGCTCGCAAGCAACCTGAGCAACCACTCAGCGCCAGTTTGGTCATTTGAAACTGCAGAAAATGCAAGGATGCCTGCGGCAGGAGATGCACTCTGCGCCCTGCTCTGCTGGGAAGCAGTCTCAACCTTGACACGTTCCCCGCAGAGCTGAGAGCTGCTGCACGGGGTGCCCGCCACCACATCCTGTGGATTTTGAGAGCGTGGCTCGTGCTGCTAAGTGCAAGCTAGAAGATGGCTCAGAGAGTGGTGAAACACCACTTTGCAGAGCACAAAGCATTCAGAGCAAAAGGACAGGAGGTATTTTGCCTATGAGTCCTGGTTGGCTGCAGGAAAAGGACAGAAGCACCACAGCTGGGAGCTACTTTTATGTCTCAGAGCTCTCTGCCCCTGGTCTGGAGAGCGGCAGATGACAAACACAAATGGTGGTGTGCACACGGATACCGGATCTTCCTTGAGTCTGACTGTACCTACCCTTTCCTTTCAGAGGGAGGAACCAGTAGAGTGTTTTGCTCTACTCTGAGCTACTTTGCAGGGTGCAGCAACTTGGAGTGTTTCTCTTACCAGTTTCAGTGTGGTACAAAACTCGCTCTTAAGGAAAGGTGCAAAGGTGTCACCAGTTCTTCTACTAACAGAGATAATCACCGTCAAAATCAAAGGTGAAACCAAAGAAAGAGGAAGTAGGAAAGCTGGCTTGGTCCCAAAGAGGAGGGCAGGAAGTATGGGGAGGTCCTTTTGCAGTTGGTTTTGTTTCTTCATTTTTCTGAGACAAAAGAGTTAACTGGAAGTCGTAGTCACAAGATTTAAATACATTTATGTTTCTTTGAGAAGAAATAGTAACTTTTAAACAATTCTAGGGTAAGATTGAGACGAAGATTTTGTTAAGCTATTGATAGCTTCTTTGCTGTTTGAACACATCTAGATTTTGGAAGTCGTTGCGGAGCACAGGTGAGAAAAGCTGCTTATTCCCTTTCCCTGGGTTTCCACGGGAGCTTTCGGTGTCTTTGAAGTTGGTTTTTCCCTCGGATCCTTGCTGGTTTATGTGTACTGATGTTTTGCTGCGTCGATTTAAGTTCCAGCTGAAGTTTATCTGAGTTAGGTCAAGGGGCTGATTGAAGGAGGTCCATAAATTGTGATAACTGAGAAGGCAAATGCTCTGGCTTTGGGTTCTCAGCGCTGATGGAAACCGGGTCTTCTTTGTCTTTCCGTTGTGCGGGCGGTTCAGACCGTGGCGGCGACCGCTCTGCTCAGGGGGCTCCCGCTGTCCCCAGCTGCAGAGGCTGGTCCCTGATTCCCAATCTGTTTATCTCCTGGGGGGAAAAACAGCGCCCAGCTGCTGGGGTCTCTCTGGGGGGATGCATGCCACGCCGAGACCCCATGGGGATCTGGGGAGAGTTGCTGCATTCCTGTTCCTCCTTCCACTCTCTCCCGAAGCAGCGTGGCCCCATGGCTGCAACAGCAACTGAGAGCCTGGAAAGACAGTGGGTGCCAAGAAAGGGGAAAATGCCATTTTTGATGAACGGCCTCGTTAGGAAAGCATTACAGGTTAAGCTTTAAGCCTCTTAAGTGTCTTTGAGGGTGTATTGGCAGATAATTAACCTGTGACTGGTGATTAACCTGTGGCTGAGCATCTGTGTCAAGTTCCTTATCTGAAACCCAGGGCGACTGCTGTACAAATAAATTTATAATTACAAATAAATTTATAATTACAAATAAATTTATAATTACAAATAAATAACCAGTGCCAAGGCTGGTTATAGCTGGTCACACTGGGACGCCATGCCCAAGCTGGGCATTGGGGGTGCCGGCCAGCACGCTCGACCCTCTCCCAAAGCCAGGGCAAGGGACCCTTTGGGAGAGGACACAGCTCAGCAGATTGACCATGGCCAGACAGGACCAGGTGGGCTCTGGCCAAAGAATATCCCTGGGCACACTTAATCTAGCCACAGGGCTGTGGCCTTAGAGCCCTTTCTAGGCTGCAATGATAGCTCTTGTGTAAGATGGGACCAAGTGAGGAACAAGCCTCCAGGAGCTGTTTTCACTCTCCTGGCTGCATGCTTCCGGGTGGGGCTTTGCAGCATTTGGGGCTGACCGCCTTTGCACCTTGGCCAGAGGCAAGGTAGCCAAATTGCAAGGGGGCGTGCTTGGCCAGCACCCCGAGGGTGAGCTCTGCCCGCATCCCTGGGGTGGGCTCTGCAAGTATCCCAAGGGTGGGCTCTGCTTCCCTGGCAGCTCAGGAAGCTTGGCTGTATGTCTCCTGACACTCGACCAAGCTTCTGTCCTGGTCCACATGTAGGAGCAAATCTTTTCAGGTTTTTCATCTCACAATGCTGAATGTGTTTCAGTTTACCATCCCTCCACCTCTGTGTGTAAGGCATCTTCTCTTTAAAGACCGTTGATATAGCTGTAGTAGGGAAGGGGAGCTGTACTAGTGGCTGCCTCAGAGAAGACGCTGTTGCATGCCACAACCAGCTTTCAACCTGCCATCAAAGGGATGGACAGCATACACTTGTCACGCTCCCGTTCCTGAACCAAGATGCAAGTGAAATTGGCTAAAAAATGTTATAATTATCCTTTTTCTCTCTCAGGTGGTTTTTGGACACTGGCATCTTTGTCGGAGTTCTTATTGCTCATGCTCAGCACAGCCTGGTTGTGAAAAGCCAGGGAAGACCCAGGGCTGCAAGGACTCACCACAGGCTCTGCGACTCGTCTGTGGACATGGCAGAGGCCCAAGGTGAGAAGGTTTCCCTTACAGTCACCCCCTGTTTCTGCAAGTGTAGGAGAAGAGATTCCCCAAGTCACCCTCCAATTTACACCAGCTGGTATAAAATTATTCTGCTTTTACTTGCATGCAAATTTCTGAAAGAGGAAACTGCTCGTGTTTAGCCAGAAATCAGGACCTGTAGAGTCACGGTGTCTCTTTAAAGTGTATTTATGAAAAGAGGAATTAACCTTTCAGAGTTTCTCCACTTTGCGTAGCAATGAAACGGGGGCAAGCTGGGGATGGGATACTTGAGTGAGGGTTCCTCCCCTAGATATACCATTCATTTTGGGGAACTACCTTTGAGGCACAGTCTCTTTCAAAATTTGAAGCTTGATAATAGCAAAAAAACCAAAGAAAAATAAAGGAGCCAATGGAAATTTCTCTAAAGTGACATGTAATAGATGTGCAGAAGAGTCATCCAGCAGGAAGGAGATGGGAAAAGCCTCAAGAATCCTGATGCTGTTTGTGCATAAATGTTACAAATAATTTTCACTTCCCTCCTGATTTTTAAGAATTTAGGACAAATTTTGTAGTTTTTCTTGGCAATGCAAAGTCTAAACCAATCTGTCCGTCTTTCTTCTGTAATGGAAGTTCAACTTATTATTCACTAAATCAACCCAGGAGGTAGGATTTTAAGAAAAAGCACCCACAACAGAAGACCACGACTGATGCATGATGACACCTGCAGTACCGACATCCCGATCTGAGCTGGCCAGGGATTTTCATGGGAAATCTAGGTGTCGCGGTCAGTGTAGCCTCAGGCACAGTTCCTCTCGTCTGAAGTAGTTATCCAAAATTGATCAGATGAATCACATCCTAAATATGTCCATTTCTCCCCGCTCTCTGCAGTGGGCTCTTTGGGGGACTAGTTCAGGTGGAGACTTCTGTATTACATATGTTATCTGTTAGGTAAGATGTGTCCCGACCCCAGTGCCAGCAGGCTTGTGATCTATTTGCAGGCAGTGATAGCATGTCCATCACGCCCAGTCCTGCTCTTCTCTTTCTGCTTTTTCCTTAAACATCCAACACCGAACGCAGCCAGGAACAATTTGCTTGGCTAAACAGACCTTTGGGCTACTCCAAGGTTTGCTGTAGTCTCACCACTTGGCCAAAGGCAGTCCTCTGGGATTTTGGAGGCACGGATTCAGTTCCCAGGACTGCATCAAAGCGACTTGGGGAAAGTCAGGCAGGAGAAGACTTCCAAAGTGGAGAGTTTTCTCCATCAGTGCGTCGACGCTGTCCATATGAACAGCTGAGCCAGTCGCCTCCAGGTCCTGGGATATTCTGAGCAGGTCTAATCAGACTGGCCACCAGAGTTAAGAAGCCTCATGCTCTGAAATGCACCCCCACATGGATCAGGTGAGTCACCAGCATGATTTTATGCCTGGGGATGCCTAGGCCTCAAATGGTCAAATCCACAGGCACAGGATATGATCGTTGCCCCTATAAACCATTCCAACATCAAAGCAGGCTTCAGAGATTAACTTTTGACATCAGTGGTTACTTAATATTAAGCCTTAAGCCTAGGTTACTTAATATTAAGCCTTGTAACTCTTTTCATTTCTTGTGAGTATGATAATGAGGATGTCCTTTCAACATGAAAAGGTGCAGAAGGAGGAAATGCAGCTGAAATAGCTCGAAAGCGACCAAGAATACATCAGGCTTTCCAGGACGATGAGCAAAAGGTTCTCAAAAAGTGTGAGTATGAGAAGCCAAGAGTGCATGTTGGCACAGGGGCAGACAGAGACATCCCTAAACACCAGGTTTTGGAGAGAGACCATAGCCCTGCCTGCCACGGAGGGGAGGTCTGGGGCTTGAGCAGACTGAAGGCTGCAGCAGCTCCTATGGATGTGGCTGCAGCGACTGTGATGGTTTCTATGGAGAATCCTGTCCCTGGATCCCAGTTGAGCGATGTCTCTAAGCAGCAAGGAACATCACATACAGGTCCCCCATGCCAGCAGCAATTCATGTGTTTTGTTCCCCAGAAGAAGGGTCCCTTGGCCCTTGGTGCCCTCCCCAGCAAACTGCATCTGGTAGAAATATCATTGGGAACTTTACAAGTGGGAGTATGGGAACTTTACAAGTCAAAGTGGCTCACAGCTGCAAAAGCCTCTTCCTGAGGCCTGCTCATTGTGTGCTGGTGCAGCCTCTGTTTTCTTTGGAGACCTCCCACTCTTGGTCAGCTTCTGAGTGCCCCACTGCAGTCTGATCCTGTAACCACATCTCCTTCCTAGATGAAAAGATTGAGTCCACGGCCAGAAAAATTCTGAGCGCATCATATGAGAAGACATCCTTCCTGTTTTGGATGGATGAGGTGCCTGACCAACTGAGATATATCAGGTGAGTCTGCATCCAAAGTGATTTAGTCAAAACTGCCTTCACTGACATAGGACTTGGGCTATGAGTTGCGTCTAGCTCCAAGGTGCTGCTGTGCTTGAAGGGTTTGGAGGAAACTTGTTTCTGGAGAGAAAAATAAAGCAAGGAAGTACCTACTTGGATCACTGCAGAGGTATGCATCAAGCAGATTTTGCTCTCTGACAGCAGCCGTAGGGATTTCTGCCCCTTTCCATTGGGGAAATAAACTGACCGTCTTGTCATCCCTTGGAAATATCGGGGAAGACATTGGAGCCAGAGGGAGAATAGCACTCATCCTGAGAGCTGACTGCAGCATTGGCATCCTCCTGATGGTGCCAGTGCGATAGGACCTCCTGGCACACAAATGCAACAGGAGTTCCTGGCACTGAAGCCAGGGGTGAGCCAAGAGCTGCATGCGGTGTGGTGAGCATGGTGCCACGTCCTTACGGAGCTCACCGGGGCTTCTCCCACACTGGAACGGACTGGAGCGGGGTTTGGAGCAGGGAACCAAGGGAAAGGTAAATATAGCAGAGAGCAGGAGCTACGCTGCAGAAAAAGCTCCCCTGTGAGGCTGTTATTAATGGAGCAATTGCATTTACAAAGGAAAAAAACTCCCCCAATATTTGCATCTGCTACAGTGGTCTACATTTCTCCTTGCTTCCTTCCTCCTCAGAGACCGCTTTGACGCGCTCCAGGCAAAGTCTACCTTCAGCCCCATCCGCATCGGTCTCTTCGGCAGCACTGGCGCAGGGAAGAGCACGCTGCTGAACACCCTTCTGGACAGGAAGTTCTTTCTGCCGGTCTCTGGGACACGGACTTGCACCTCCTGCCAGGTTCAGATCAGTACCTGCAGGATTAAACACTATGAAGCGAACATTTTTCTTCTCTCAGAGGAGGTGAGGCAGGTTTCTCTGCAGGGTTGCCAGTAGGTTTCTAAGAGGACCCTCCAGAGGGAAGCTCTTCTTTGCAGCTGGCTTTTTGGCCACACTACTGAAGTATAGGGCAGGGCTAAGTCTTGTTGTGTTTGAGATGGCTGAAAGGAAGACAGGAGAAAGCCAAAGCTTTTTCCTTTCTGCTCCAGGCAGCTGGAATTGTCTGGAGCAGGGATTGCCGGACAGGACTGCAGGCAGAGGGTGCATTGCAGCCACCAGTGCTGCTTCTTCCTGTTGCTCCTCACAACTGAATCCCAGGGCCAAACCGCTCCTACTGTAGCAAGCCTGAGCTGTCCCGTTAAATAACACCCTCTTTGCTCCACTTTGGCAGGAATGGAAGGACGAGCTGAGCAATCTCTTTGTGCTTTTGGACCCTGAGAACAGAGGCAGTGAGAGCGACGATGACGTGGAGCACGCCATTCAGAAGCTGCAGGCTCTTTACGGGGAAGGAGCAGAGAGAAGAAGTTACGAAGAGCTGCTGAGAACCAAACCTGTGATTACCATTCCCTCCTCGAGATGTATCACTCTTAGAAAAGCAGAGGTAAGCGTACCTTTCCAGGCTAGGAAGGCCAGCAGTTTCTGCTTTTGGGTCCAAATATCTCCGACGCTGAAATAGTTGCGTAAGTTTTCCTTTGCGGCCCTTCCTGTGACTCTGTTTTGAAGACTCATCTCCCCACCGGTGCTGGAGGGTTTAGAATCGCCTTTCTAAGTATGGCAACACACTAGAGAAAAAGAAGAGGAAATGGCTTGTTCTTTTTAGCCTATTTGGGGGTTTTATCTCTCTATGGGGCAAAGATTAACCTATTTGTTGTGTCCCAGGCAGAGGAGCTCTCTAAGGAGCTGGACCCATATATCCGGAGCTGGGACCACGGAGAAGGGGACAGTGAGATGGAAGAAAGGAAAGAAAAGATGCGGCTCTGGCCACTGATCAAGCATGTGGAAGTGACTCTCCCGATATCAGAGCAGATTCCCAAAGGTGTTGTCTTTGTGGATATTCCAGGGACAGGAGATTCCAACAAGAAAAGGGATGAAATGTGGAAAGAGGTGACTGGCAAGTTATGCTGTGTGGGGAAAACACATTTGGGTGGGAAACACTTCCATATTTCCATGACTCTGTCTTAGAGGGAGACCCCAAAGAGACCATATGCATATGGCAAGGGAGAGAAGGCACAGGCTGAGCAGTTGGAGGCTGGATGCTCGCTCTGCAGGGATGGCACCCAACATGCTTCCCCACTCAACATCTTTGCTCCTACTACTTCTTCTGCAGAAGCATCCAAAGCCTCTCGTGCCATTCCCTGCTTGCCTTTGTCCAGGATGGGGAGGCCTGTCCAGGCTTGGAGTCGGCCACGTGCCTTGCTGGCCCTCCCGGCACTTGGCTGTTGCAACGTGTGCCAGCAGCACTGTCGGGGCGTCCGAGCTCAATGACCCCCAAGCACAGTCCCATGTGGAGGGAGGGATTCGCCGCCTCTGGGAGCCATGTCCCAAGTCCCAAGTCCAGCACCTGCACTGATGCTGCAGATGCTTTCCGCCTGTGCCTGGCGTTGCCCCCCCCGAGGCAGTGTCCTCACTGCTCGTGGTCTCCAACGTCTTTTTCCCATTTGTTTCTCCTGCTTTCACTCAAGAGTATCCTGGAGTGTTCATCCATCTGGATTATTGCTGATGTTGAACGTGTTTTCGGGGCCAGAGGACATGACACTGTGCTACAAGAGGCAATTAAAGCTTGCCAGGCTGGAAAGTGCAATGATATCGCCTTTGTGGTGACCAAGATAGATAACATGAATACTGAAGAATACCTGAGGTAAAGACTAGCTCCATTGTGCGTTCAGGACTGTAGAGGTTTGCAGTGCATTGGCCTACCTCTTCCCCCAACGTACCACCTCCCTGGCTACTTTCCAAGCCATGTTTAACCCTGGTAGCTCCAGAAGCTCTCGGTGACATGAGCAGCAGGGGCATTAAGCCTGAGATCTTAGGGTTTAAACTGAGCTGCTGCTGCCATTTAAGATAGAAGATCCTGTTAAAGCTGTAATAGCTTCTGTGCATGGTCCAGGTTCCACAAGAACAGGCTGAAAAGTGGATGCTATTTGTCTGTGACAGGATCAGATCTTGTTAGTAGTCTCTCTTACCCACTCTGCATATGGAAAATGGCATTTTCACACCATGGTTGTTTCCCAGTGACATTTTATTGCGGGGCAGGAGGGAGAATTCCTGAGCTCTTGCAAGCTGAATCACTGCAGGCCATTTGGTCTGCTGGCTAGACACCGCTGCTCACGCGAATGGCTTTAGCTGTGCAGGTGCTGCCCCGTATCTCTCGCTTTTACCTGAACTCCAGTCTTAAAACTGCCTGCATGTGCCGTCTCAGTCCTGCCTACAACCGCTGGAGTAACCCAGGTGTTCAACCTGCTCTTGTGCTTCAAAGCGTTTGTTCAGATTCTGTTTGCAATAGAGAGTTTGAAGCGAAACGAGTAAACACTTTAACATGAATTCCTGCAGACGGACATCATCATGAAAGCCCTTGAAAGAGAAATTCTTTTGAAAAAGAAGACTATCTATGAGTCCCTTGCGCTGTCGATCCAAAGCAGCCTTTCGCCGCATTACGACGGTAGGACTGGTCTTCTAATTGATTCTGCATCTGACATCGTTAGTTCACGCTCTGGCCTTGGGAGATGTTTTCCTAGCTTTTGTACAGAGTCCCGTTACAGAAGGTTTCACAGTTGCACTAACTGGAAGGCAGGAAGGAGAATGTGTAAATTTGTGCCTTTGGGCGACACGTTCAGTGGGTCACAAATGTGTCACCAGGACACATGGCTATCGTTCCAAAACCTACTGCGCAGATTTGTTTTATTGTTGATGCTGTTGTCCCACCCTTTAATCATCAAACCACATAAGCTCATCACACATCTCTTGTGAATCAATTCACAAGAGAATGTTGCTTCGTCTCCACCCGCGTGAGGGGTTGGAGAGCGGAGCCCTTGCCCAAGGTTAAAAGCTTTAGAAGACCTATAGCTTAGCTTGAGTACAGCCTGAAGCTCTGAGGAAGAACTTAGCTTGAAGGTTTTGCTTGTGGGCAAAGGAATTTTTTAGGAGGGTGAAAGTTGCTTGGGAACAGGGGGCATGCTTGGGAACATAGACACCATTCCTGGCCCCTCTTTGCAAATCTGCTTTGAGCTAGTAACAGTGATGTTTCCCACCGTTGCAATAGAGGCAGCTAGGATATGCGGGAAGCAGGCATGCGAGAACATTAAAAACAAACTGAAGAAGTCCGTTGAGGAGGAGGTGGGCAAGGAAATGTTTGAGAAAGCAAAGGAGAAGATGAAGAGCCATTTCCAGGATCTGAAGGTAAGTGCTATTTCAAGAATTGCTGTTGTGAATCCAAGCCTATGTTAGCAGCATTGTGATAGACAAATTGATGGATGGACAAGACTCTCGAGCCCTCTGCAGTCAATCCAGTGGACACTGCAGAGCATTTTTAATGCTCAGTGAAATTTTATGAATTACGCAGCACATAGCATCTGCCTAAGATTACAGAGTGAACGCGTTGAGTTGCAAGTTGTTGTGGGATGTCACAAAAATGGTGGTCTTTGGATATCTCAAGGAGAAAATGAATTCTTTGTCGGCTTCAGCTGTCTGGACTCGCTCCAGTTAGAGTTTATTCATGCTTCAATACAGCAATTTAAATCTGTTTCAGTTCTGAGAAAAGAAAACACCAGACTGAATTTGTCTGGATTCAGTTCCCTGGTTAGCCCCCAAACCAACTTCTGTGCTGTCTTAGTTAGCAAGCAAAATTTTAGATTTCCGGGCAGCAATTTCCTAGTTTGGTCCCTTTGTTTCCTGCTTTCTGACCTCATATGACCTCTTCCAACTCATCTCCGGCTATCTGGATTCACTCATATGGGTCACCACCTAATGGGTTCAAGCTTGGATCACACAAGACTCACAGTTATTCGAGTGACGCTCCTTTATGCCGGCCAAAGATCTGGCATGCCCACTTGACCAAAGAAGATGGACAGAGTAGGTAGGCTCACCTAAAAAAAGGTCTCATCTGCTCTGGGTATTGCACGAGACCAATTTGGACGCTCCCCAGCAAGCTGCTTGGGCGTGCAAACACCAAAGCTGTTACAACCTTGGCAATCCTGGCAGATAATAGCAGTGCAAAACAGTAATTCTTGGAGCTCAATGGCTTCAGGTGGTAAAAACGCCTGTGCTCTGTGTCTTGAGGAGATTGCACTTCTCATGTGAATTGACTTTGATAAAGTCCATTCGCTTCTGTGCCGCAGTCTGCACTGGGCTCTGTGGCTTTAAACAAGGCTTCTCTCTTAAAAAAACAAACAAACAAAAAAAAAACCCAAACATCAAAACGATACGTTCATCGTCTATGATGGCCACAGGTGCAGATGACCACAAAGCTGGAGAAGAACTTTTCCAGCACGCTCAGACTCGCCTTTTGTCCGTGGGACAGGACGTGCAGGAGGCTGCCAGGTACGGTCCGAGCTCTGCCCTCCGGGATGCCTGGGCTGGGAGGGAGAGCCCTTCGCCCGGGCGCGAGCGGCCGAGGATCAGTCCTGGAAAGAAGTGACTGAAGGAGTGGGTGAGCAGGGTCCTGAGCTTGGAAAGCCCTTCGGGGTGTGCTCGCGGCCTGTGCCGGGTCAAGGCCCGGAGATTCACTCTTAACGCCGGTCGTCGGAGGCTGCTAGGCTGCAGCTCAGGGATGATAACGATTCCCCACTGCTTATTCCTGAATACATAGGCATACATTAGCTGTCCCCACCCCTTGTACCGAAGCTTTTATTCCCTTTCTGTAAAAGCAAAAAGGCGGACAACCGAGTCTCTCTCATTTTGCTCTTCTCCTTGCAGTTTTTGAGCAAGAATGCCAAGAAATCGAGAGTTTGTGCAAAAATCTCTGACAGCCGCACTGACTGCGAAGGCCTGCTGGAAGACTTCCCTTCCGTTTCTCTTCTTTTAAGCAAAGTTATTTTGGGCTTTTATCTTTAATTGCATTTAACTGATTGGTTCACCGCTTTTCTGTGTTGACCACCTTCTAAGCAAGAATTTTAAAGGCCTTGTGGATTGGACTCGGTAGCCGAAACGCCGGCCTATAAGGATCTGGAAGAGCTGAGGTCTCTTGTAGGTCCTGAGCTGCGTCCGCAGCCCCTGGTGAAGGGGCATATCCCCACGCTGGCCGTTGGGCTTGTAGTGGAGGTTCAGCCATAAGGTCTTGGGTGCCTTGCTGAAGATCTTCCAGGAAATGGCACAATATATAACATGTATCCCGGTTTAATTATACTAAATGTTAGTAGCAGCTTGTGCGTAGCTTTTATACTCGTCCTGAAATGTAATAAAATATTAAGCTCTTGGGCTATTTGACTGGTATTTTTTTCAAAATGTCTCAGGATGCAAAAGGGGTAATTGGACCGCTTGGCAGGGATTTTTCTTGTATTAAGAGGAATGCTTGGAAATATTCTATAATAACTGCTGTGGCCATGGTGCTGGGTGGGGGGCAGTGAGAGTGGGGTGCTCCAGGGAGGCAGGGCTGCAGCCCTGCCCCAGCTCTCCAGCCATCTGCCGGGCATGGCTGTGGGCTGAGACCTGGCCTGGCTGGTGCATCTGCTGGAGGTCCTCGGGGCAGAACCGGGGCCTTCCTCCCAGCTCTCTGGGCCGTCCTCGTCCTCGTCCTCCTCCCCCCGCTGCCTGGGGCTGGGGGGACACTAGCGCGTGCAGATGCTCCATGCCCAGGACTGCGTGACAATGGCGTCCCTGCAAGGCACAGCTCGGTGCTGTGCATTGCACCCAAGGTGCCCGAGCAGCGGAAAAGCCCTCTGCCGCGATGCTGACGTCCGTGCTCCATGCTGCTGGCGTGCCTCACCCCGGCATGATGTGCAAGGATCCTGCCCGGGAAAGGGAGCCCGGCATGATGTGCAAGGATCCTGCCCAGGAAAGGGAGCAGGCTGGAGTCCCGGGGCAGCAGCCGTGGCGTATTGCATCTTGCCTGCAGCACAGCTTTCCCCAAGGAGAAGGACTTGCAGTGCCAGGAGCTGGGCAAAACATCAGGATGATGCCGGCCCCGAAGTGCTCCCAGGCTGCAGAGGAGAGGAGGCTGCCAGGGTGTGCAGGGGGCTGGTGACGGCATGGAGAGCTTGCGCTGGCAGCCCAGCTAGGGGACTGGGCGCAGGTAAGTGCGAGGGCGCGAGCAGGGCGGTGGATGTGTCGTATTTCCCTTTGGGGGTACAACAGCCATACCTCTGATTTCCGGTGCACACAGCAGGGACAAGCAGCTCTCCCATCCCCGGAGCGGCGACTGCACCCCGGGGTGGGGGGGACGGGGCTGCGAAGTGAGCTGCAACAGGGCAGCAGAGGCGACGTGGGCTGTACATGAGCTCTTCCCCTCCAACCCGAGGCAGGATGCAGCAATCCCATGCCCATGTGGCTGGGGATGGGAGGAAAAACATGGAAAAAAGGAGGGAAAAAGGGGGGGGGGAAAAGGGGAAAAAAAAAAAAAAAAAAAAAGAAAAAAGGGGAAAGGGAAAAAAAGGGAAAAGGGAAAAGGGGAAAAAGTTAAAAAAGGGGGGGAAGGAAACAAGGCAAAAAGAGAAAAGGGAAAAAAGAAAAAAGAGGGAAAAGGAAAAAAGGGGGAAGGAAAATGGGGAGAAGAGAAAAAAGGGGGAAAAGGAGGGGGAAGGGGTGAAAAGGGGAAAAAAGGAGGGGGAAGGAAAAAAGGAAAAAAGGGGGAAGGGGGAAAAGAAAAAAGAGGAAAAAAGGGGGAAAAGAAAAAAGGGAAAAGGGAAAAAAGGCAAAAAGGGGGGAAGGGGAAAGAAAAAAGAGAGAAAAGGGAAAAAAATAAAAAAGGAAAAAAGAGGGAAAAAGGGGGAAAGGGGGAAAGGGAGAAAAAGAGAAAAAGGGGGATAAAAGGAAAAAGAGAAGAAAAAAGGAGAAAAAAGAAAAAGGGAAAAAGGGGGACAAAAGGAAAAAGGAAAGGGAAAAAGGAGAAAAAGGAAAAAAGGAGAAAAAGGAAAAAAGGAGAAAAAAGGAGAAAAAAGGAGAAGAAAGAAAAGAAGGAGAAAAGGAGAAAAAGGAGAAAAAAGGAGAAAAAGGAGAAAAAATAAGAAAAAAGGAAAAAAGGGGGGAGAAGGGGGAAAAAAGGGGGGAGGGAAAGGGGGAAAAAAGAGGGAGGAAAAAGCAAAAAAAAAAAAAAAAAGCCC